TTTTTTTTTTTTTTTTTTTTTTTTTCAGCTAGAAAGGACCTTTGTTCCATTTTACTAGTTATTTCTTGGCAACCTAAAGACAGGCTTTGAATTGTTCTATTCTTTAATGGGAGATTAAGGCATTCAATATGTTTTTTTAATGTGATTGAAAAACAGATTGTATACAAGCTGTTAATGCTCTGTGACAATAAAAAGGAATTTAATTCTACCTTACATTTTCTTGCGATAAAGTGCGCACCAGAGAAAACACTTGGCTCCCTAAGCCTAAAGTTAACGGAGAAGGTTACAGATGAAGGGCACAGTCTTGTGACTGGAGAAGCACGCTCAGCCTCCCGTGGCACACTCACTCACCAAAGGGGCAGCGTGGACGCTGAACAGGACGCCGGTCCCTGAAGTACCCCAAGGCGGTGACAGGACCTGGAGGGAAAGGGCGCCAAGTGTAGGAGTTTCCATAAACGCGAGGGACTGGGTGAGCTGGGTCGATGGCAGGAGGAGCAGATGGAGCAGTGTAGTCTGGCAAAGCATCGAGTCTGCTGCGTTCTGACCTCACTCTCAGCTCTGTGGGAGGGACGGTATGGACAGAAGAAGCAGCTTCCACTGAGAATGAGAGGAACTGATGGCTCTTGAGCCAGGTTTAGTCAAGGATGCAAAGAGCACGTTAAATGAAAAACTTGTTACTGCGAAATAAGGCCCAGAATGTTACTCGTCGGTGTTTCTTCGTCTTTTCCCCTTTACTGTACCTCAATCTTTGAGACTGATGTGTTCGTTGAGGAGTCATTTTTGAGAATCTATTGAATACCAAGCACAGCACTGGATATCAAGGTGTGCCTTGGTGAGTGCTTAAGTCTTTAAAATGTAGGCAAGATACCAAGGGATCTCATATTTATATATATAAGTGCTGGCAGTGTAGCTCAGGGGCAGAGTACCTCTGAGTCCAATCCCAACGAAAGAAGGAGGGAGGGAAGGAAGGAAGGAGAGATCCAGAGCTACCGTTTTTGTTCAGTATTTATTCACTCATTTATTCTGCACATCTTTACTGAATGTTCCAGCCCTGTCCTGCATACTAAGAATATAACAGGGAGCAAGCAGACAAGTCCTCAGTCTCGTGAAGTCTGTACTGCATAAGAGCAGTCGTCATCAAGTCTAGCCAGATGCTATGCTCGGTACCTGCCCATCTCCTGTGTGATCCTCCGACACCTCCGCTGGGCACGCTATAACAATACCCTGTTCTATAAACAAGGAAAGTAACGAACAGTGAAGTTGACAGGAACTCAGAGACCTCAGCTTTCCCACCAGAGCACTGGGTCTGATACACTCAAGACACCTGCCGCCTGGCCACAAGTACCAAAGCCTCCTGTGTCAGCAGCGTCACGGGGTGACACTGGTGTAGAGAAGTAGGGGAGCTGTTGTCAGGGAGCTGAGAGGTGCTTGCAGTGCAGAGTCCGGTGGAAAAATGAATGAAGGAAAGGAATAACTGACATTGAAAAAGTCAGGTAGCTAATAAGTGAAAAGTTCAATTCCACTTGGAAAGATGTGAAAATTAATTTGATACCATGTTCACCTATCAAGCTAGGCATGTTTTATTATCAGTCTATGAGAGAAGTGGTACTAATATTAGAACCATGTTTTTTGAACATTGTTCCGGAAAACAGTCAGTATTTATCAGTTGTCTGAAAATGTCTATACCCCTGATGGCGAACCTTTTAGAACTTCCAGTGATACACACAGCCAGCTGCGGCACGTGTGCTGTAGGTTCACCACCACTACTGTATACCCTTTCACCGTGCAGTTGCATGTTTAGGTGTCTGTTCTAAAGAAATGGCCAGAAATTCAGATCACATCATTTTCAAAAGTGTTTAACATGCTGTTGTTTGTAATTAGGGACGGGCCAATCTTGATGACTTAATATTATCATTAAAAGTATTACTTTGTAGTTTATTTTTATAATTTGAAGTGTTTGCTGTAAATATTAAACTTGAAAAAAGAATGTAAAACTTTATGTTTTAATGGTGTAAAAATAGCTACAGTGCATTAATACATTAATTCAGACTACATTAATAAGAAAACATTCAAAGTGGTTATTTCTAGGTAGAGGTAACCTATATTCGTAACTTCATTTTTCAAATTCTCTAAAGTGAGACTTTCATGATTTTTAAAATAAAATAACAATTTCCACTTTTCTTTTATTTAGCCCTCTTAGCTTAACCCATACATTTGGAATGGAAATTGAGATTGCATGGGCAGTATCAAGAATCCAATTTTCATGAAAAAACACATTTATTTTCCTAATCCAACAGTGATAAAGCCACAAAACATATTATCTCTCTGATTATTTTGTATTTATAAGGCTAATATAGGATATTGTCAATTTATGTAAGTTCCAGGTGTGTTTCAGCCATTCACTTTGCAAATACACAGATAAAACAGCAGTACTTAATTCTTTACAGGTTTTACAACTGCCTACAACATGCTTTGGAAAGAGAAACAATCACTAACTCACATCACAAGATCAAAGAGGAAAATAACCCATCCTGTTCTCCTAAGAAAGAAAGAAACCCAGCAGAAGCTCACAGCAAATGCATCCTTGAGGAAAATGATAAAGACATTGAAAATGATGACGATGACAACCCAGGACTCAGCGTTACTGTCTTCCCCAAGGATTACTAAGATTTGGTTCTGAAGTATTTTGGTAAAATACTGTTTGTCAGAGATTTTATATAGCAGTTGCTGAGTGCATTAGCTGTTGAAAGCAAGATCTCATTTCTCTGTATTTTAGAGAAGCCCATGTTACAATCCCAGGTGGCTTTTAAAAAACACCTTTTTATACTGTTGCTCATGAAGTATTACCTTTTTTAGGCATATAAAATCTTTACAAAAGTAAAATTGCGATTTTTCAATGCCTCCTTTTGTTTCAGTTTTCACTTCTATGAAATAGGAAAACTAAATATAATATCCTTTCGAGACAACCTCAACGTTTTGGGCATTTAAGTAAAAATGTGAGTAAAATTTCTTTCCTTTAATTTTGAAGCCTCCAGCTTTTAGAGGAAGGTTGGAGTTTGCTTCCATGGCTGTGGAGTCCAATGACAAGTCTTTCCCTCCCTTTCTTCCTTTTGGGTTAGACAACGGATACACTTCTTGTTAAAGACAGAATTCTTTAACTTCTGCTTGCATTATTTCTCCCAGACCAGAGCTTGCCCCTGGCCCGATCTCTGAAACCCATAGGCCCACTTTTCCCCTGATCCTGTGAGAAATGGTCAGTCAGACACAGGCTTCTTAACAGACAGAACAGACATACTGTGGAGAATTACCAGAATCAAAAGCCACGGGTTTGAATTCTGAAGGCTGCACAGAAGTAGGAGGTCCTTGAGCAAATTTCTGACTTCCTGGGCTTGTCTCTTGTACGTAGTAATAATTCTAATACCTGCCTGATTGACACTGTCAGAGCATTGCAGGATCGTGTTCAAAGTGAGAAAGTATTTGCTAATAGCCCATGATGCATATATGTTACTATTTATTTTCATTATAGACTGAAAATGCTTTCATACTGTATTTTCAGAGTGTACCAGGTCACAATTATATATTTGAGAGGTAATCCCTAGACACAGAATTAATAAATTACAAGATCAGAATGTCAAATAGAAAAAATTATAGAAAGTAGTAAGCACAGGTATGATTACAGCATTTCGTGGTATTTTTGTATTTGCCAAAGTGCTACTGTACGGATTATGGTTAGGTTGGACGCCTCAGCTGCTTGCCTTTGGCAGCATTTTGTACATTCAGTTTTAAAATAGGCTGATTTCGTAGCCATCTACCGACCTGTCAGTAAATCAGCCGGGATGGCATCCAGACAGCTCCAAAGTTACTGTCGTTTTCTTTATTCTGTTTCTTGTCATTCCTCTGAACTGCTCATTTTTTGGGAATATAAAATAAGAATATGTCACTTATGACCTGATTTCTCTTCGTATTCTCACAACATTCTGGGAGTCGAGTCTTCTAGTGCAGTCCCGGGCCCTACTTTGTTCTTGTTTCATTGCTCCAGGGAGCTTCCTCTGTGTCCTCAGTCTCTGCCATCCAGGATATGGTCACTTCTGTGCCTCCTGGGATCCCTGAACTGAATCCTCTGAGTCGTTTCTTGGTTTATGGAGAATCCTTTTTATCTTCTTACTCCTTTTGTTTCTGATAGCTTTAGAGTAAACACATTCATCGTTTTCTTTAACACTTATCCCCGCTTAGAATCATCTTTAAAACTCTGACAAAATAAAGCAAGTATCCAAGAATTTCCAGGGAGGGCCATGAGGCCTTGCATTTATGAGGTGTGATAAAAAATGCAAATTTTTAATTTTTTAGATGTATCCATTAAAATACAGGTCATCATTGATCTTCCTCGAAACACTCCCACACTGATCCCGTAATTCTTGCCGCTTTCCGAAGCAGTTCTGGAAATCCTTTTTCCTCTTCTGTTGCACGGTCATGGCTGCCTCCGTGTCCCAAATCTGTTCAAAACATTTACCTTTCATGCTTATTTTGACTTCAGGAAAGAGCCAGAGTTGGAATAACATGGACCTTTCCGTCGGATGGGGCTTGGCAGCAGTCACCTCATTCTTAAAGTCACACCTTGTAAAGACGCAAACGAGGACCCGCAGGACTGCTTCAGAAGCGGCACCAATGATGGGATGAGTGTGTGGGAAGAGCGGGCACGGGGTCCCACTGCTGACTGACTCGGAGCCTGAGAAATGTAAGTGCATCGGAGGACAGTGACGGTCATAAGCCTGCTCTCGGGGACATGCACATAACCAACAAGCACACACGTGCAGCGCGACCAAGGTCCCTGGGCTAGTGTTTCGTCTTACCACATCCCAGTGAGCTGATGAGGCAGCATAACTGTCCTGAACTAATGAGCTCTGTTGACTAAAGAGTAGCTGTTTTGTCGCTGTTCTGCTGAAGGAATAAAGATGAGCCCTGGAGCCCTGGAGCCCTGGACTGCCTGCCGCTGCTGTCACAGATCTCCTCTCTGCATCTTGTTCTTTATGGGGGATGAATTAACTCATCACGGTACTAAGGATGGAATGGACCCTCTTCAGGTGCCCTTGGGGAGGCTTGGCCTTCACAGGGGGAAGTGAGTGTTTCGAGGGGATTAATGGGAATATGTCTTTTACTATAATACATTTTTTAAAAACTTAAACCTTCACTGTATTTTTCAGTCACCATTTGCGTAATTTTTCAGATTCCCAAGCTCTCATCAAAGTAAAGGGTAACCAGGCCTGCCTACGTGTCTGTGTTTGGCCTCCCTTCCACGTCCTTCTCTTCACCCCACCTTTTGCATTCACAGAGACTTGGCTCATCAGTGATTCGCACCTGCCTGGCCCTTCCCTGGCCTCTGGCTAACTGGTAGACCTCTACAGCAGAGCTGTTACCTTCTAAATTATTTTTTTTCTCTTGTTAAACTTCAACTTACAGAAAGCAGGTTTTCGTTGGGTTATTTTCTTGTTGAAGCCAATAAGAATGTTTGTATTGGTGGCTCTTCAGGGGCATGGTGTGGAATATGTGAAGTAAGAAAATTACTCACACACAAAAACAACTACTCTAGTGTCATTTTTCAGATCCTAAAATCCTGAGCGGGTCAGCTCGCCTCTGTACCTTTCAGAGATTTACGCTTGTTGTCTGTGTCATATTCAGAGTTTTTAGTTGCATTTGGTGGAAAGAATAGGGAAAGATACGACGAATCCGCCTTCCAGAAGCAGAAAGTGAATGTATTTTTGAAGCTATGTATAGTATGAAATTGTTGGGGTACTGTTGAGAACTCTTGAAACCCTACCAGCAGGCCATGGATCCTTTGTTTTTATGCTGTGTTTCACCTCCCAGCTTTTGGGCCTTGGCCAGTGTCCCTTTAGGTTACTGGCATCTCTCCATCCTAAGGGAGCGAAGGGAAAGTCCGGATGTGTCCTCCCTGCCCCAGCCATTGCGTCCTGGCCAGTCGTGGTGACTCTCTTGTCTGGGAGTCAGAAAGCTTGGGTGTGTCATTGTCCTCTCAACTCCCAGCAGGACCAGGCTGACGCTGTGACTTCACCTGCAACTCTATCACGTGGTCACCACCTCATTGCATCGCTGAGTGAATCACATACACGGGCATGGTGTCTTCTGTAAGCACCTGACCCAAGATGGGCATTTAGATTATTTTGAACACATTATTAAAAAGTGGTGGTATAAACCCATTTTAAATAGGTGCTTATGTTAACTAACAGTTGATACTTTGATGCTGGAAATTAGCATTATAGTTGTTCTGTGAGAAATGATATTGGCATTGATTTAAATTTATGACACAAACATGATGTGTACTAAATTTAGGCTGGAAATTATGGAGTTTTAAAAGTTCTCTTAAGAGTATGTCCCTGACAACTTCTGATCTTCATTTATATAATATATACTGTCACAGGCACTGAGAGGCAGGGACATTGATTCAAGCCGAGGGAGAACAAGGCAATTGAACATGGTAGGGGACTTTGTGCAGAAATCCAGTTTGGGGAAATACCTTACAGGATAAGATCCGAGTTCGCTCCACGGAAACATCCAAGAAGAGCTGTTGCGGATAGAGGAAATGTGGGAGGGAAATGAGGCACCCACTGAGGGGCGGGGGTCATGCGAATATTTCAGAAAAGCTGAGACACAAGACACATGGGATGGAGTTCTGCTTCGTAACGCACACTGTGTGTCCACAACCAGAATCTTCACACGGGCTTGCTTGAGTGACTCATCTAAGTGAGTCAGCTAAAATCGGCCCAGAACTTTTAGAATCCGTTGCTAACAGACTTATTCTGAAGATAGCCTTAAAAATACATGTGTTCAGAGGTACCTATGCCCTGGGTTTTAGGTGTACTTATTTTAGGACGGATAAGCAGGAGCTTCCCATACCCTAATCAGTTGATTTTCTGTCCTTGCCCTTGGTCCACAGCGGTTTCCAAAAAGGCCCAGCAGTGTGTGCAGCTGTGCAAGTTGAACTCGACCACTCAGGAAGGGTCATTCCTCTAACTGACTTCTTGAAGTTGTGCAGCGCACATTCTTAGCTCTGAACCTGCACCGCGCTCTTGCCAGGAAGGGTCTTGGACAGGAAAGAAAACCCCGTGTCGGAGTGTCTGGAACATTTCTTATTTCATGAATGGACCATGAAAATGTCTACCAGACAGATAAACAGAAAGAGCAACAAATACAAATAATCCCTAAATAAGGACAGTTGGAAAAGGGTGGGGAGCGGTATCCTGTGATGGAATGGCAAAGTATTTTGCAGTTTTAAAGTATTTCTTCTACGAGGCACCTAATCCATTGACTTTTCTTCACTCGGTTAAACCAACCCCAACAGGACTGTGCATTCCGAGGGTTCCATAAATGGAGGAAATGGATGGCAGCTTGCTGCTGCCTTTGTCTGAAGTAACGGAACTGCTCTGTTTCTCTTTGGTTAGTAGAGAGGAAAGACCAGGTTCTGGTTATAAATGCAGGAAGACATCGACTCTCATTCGTTTTTTAACATCCCTTAATATATTGCGTTTATATATACAATCCATAGGCCCAGTTGCCAAAATTAATAATGCAGTGTAGCAGTCTAATAATAACAGCATGTAAGATGAGAATTACCTTGCACCTTCCTTTTGTTGTAACCGAACATCTAAAATAACAGGAATACTTTCCTCAGAGGCTGACATTTATTCCCATGCTCTGAGTTCTCCATATCATTTACAAGTTAATTGCTTTTTGCTTTTATATTCTACAAGAGAATGAGAGAGGAGAGAGAGAAGAGATTTAATGAGAAACAGGGAGAGAAACTAAGAAACATGCTTTTGTTTTTGAAGTTCTAGGCCAGAGGTCATGAATTACTGGCCACATTACAGCCAAGCAGATATGTTTTTTTTGGCCCACCCAAACGATATTTTTTCCTAATTGAGTCAAGATTTTAAAATACGATGATTTCACATTTAAAAATAAAAAGTGAATCCCTACTTTTTGTTTTTATTGGGAGATGTAAGTATGTTGGGACCCCACTGACACAAGATATGTAGCCACATACTGGCTGCTTCCTCTATAAAAGCTTTGTTTTCCTGTTTGCAGCATCCACACCCTCCTGACTCCAGTCCTAACTCACCTGCTCGGTGCTGTCGCTCCATTTCTTGGTCCTTGTGGACCCCAAGGTTCACAGCTCTAGACTTTGAAGAAATTAAACTGCTCTATTAGTATGTTACCACACCGACACTTCTGATTTAACCACTGAGTTATATTCCTGCAATTAAGCCGTTAAATAAATTGGTCAATGGCTAAATGAGGAATGGTATGTATATTATATTACATTACAATACTGAGGAAAAAGAAATGGTCCAAGGAAACACCAACTTGATGATTTTATTTGCATAACTTTCTTGCATGCATGTTATACTATGACGTATAACAACATAAAACTACAGTATTTATTATAAGTATAATCAGCACAAATTACAACATACAAAGTGTAGGGGATGAAGAAAGACACAGGCTCTATAGACGAGGGACAGAACCATACAGAGAGAAAAGAAGGTCATAAGTATGGGCAGCAGATTTGAAATCTGAAGAGCCATGCCTCGGTCGTAAGTCTGAACAGCCGTTAAAGAGGCAAGTCGTTAAACGGGAGGTATCCATGTCACACAGTAAATCACAGGTTAGCATGGGACCTAGGGTGCATTCGACAAAGAAGAGGGTAAAGTGAAAATGTGGGGCCCTTGGTTAAGAACTTGAGTAAGAATGATGAGGTGGCAACAGGAGAGGGTGAAATCCATGGCCCGCTTCTGGGCACTCCCATGGGCCAGCCGGGCCTTCTCCCTGGCGGACGTGGGCACGCCCAGCCCCCATCCAGAGAGAGGCAGAGGTGTTGCTTCCAAAGTTAAGGGTCGGAGAGCCCTGAGAAAGGACTGTTCCCACCCTTCTTACGAAGCGCCCTGGAGCCGACTTCCTGGATGGAGGGAAGGAGGTCTAAGGCCTGGAGAAATGAGCCTTGCCTTGCTTCTCCGTGCTTACATGTGGGCTGCTTTTAATGCGATTGGATTTTATTAACCATAAATGCTAATGTCGTAAAACTCATGAATAGTTTAATGTTTTAGATTCTGATGCATTTGATTTTTGCTAAGTGAGTATCTCAGGCCTATTTTATTGTTGCCTTAAGTATGGCTTGATTTAGACTCTTAATTTCACTCACTGAATGAATTTCATTCATTTATTCATTTTAGTTGACTTTGCTTTTTCAGAGGCATTTGACGTTTACAGAAAAGTTGGGAGGAAAAGAGTGTAGTCTCCATATATTTCTGTGTCTCTGCTCACATTTCCCCATTTACTTTACATTCACATTCAAGACCGATTATTTAATTATTCCAGAGACAGTGTTTTTTTTGTTGTTGTTGTTATCCCATTTCCCAGGTATTTCTGTAGATTTTATTAACATAAACTTTTCGTGCATCTGTGTGTCACAGAAAAGACCTACTCCATTCCAAGAATAAGTGGAGAGACTGTCCCTGTCCCCAACACATATGCCATATAAGAGGAAAATAAAATATTTCTCAGTGACCAATTTATACAATTGCCATTTATATAGTTATGAAACAACTGTAGTTTTATTTACTTCACAAATATTGACTGCGTGACTGCTCTGTGTTATTGTTGTGGCCTAGGACAAAATTCCTTCCCTCTCAGAGCCTTTCTCGTAGGATTATTGTTGTGCTCTGGACTCTTGACTAGGATGAGGCACTTGCCAAAGGTACCCTTTAAATTCTACCCATCACTCAAATTCCATGCAATCCACTCAAACATTTCCTCTGCTGAGCTCCCCGAGGAGCCATTTCAGAATTAACACCTTCCGTGTCTGCTTTCATAGCATTTTCCCATCCCCATTTACATAGCATTTTGTTTATATTGTTATGACCATAGAAACCAGCAAGCAGTTTGGTATTTATTAATTACACGTGGGCACATTCATTACTACTGTCCTGTTGGACTGTGACTCATGGAGGGAGTGCGCTATATTTTGTCACTTGTATCTCGGGTCTTGCACGTTGGTGATTTTCAGTAAATCTTTCTAAATGACTGATGTAAATTATAAATTTATAAATGTGTTGTGTGGGTGAGAACCTGAGAGCATTACCTAATTTATTGTTTTATAGGCATATGAGGAAATCCCTGACAGAAGTCTATTGATTTTCTTTCTTGAGAGCATCTTGATAATATGATTAATAAAATTAAGAGACCAGAGTAAAGTAATTAGCTTCGAAGTCACTCACTAGTAGTGTAGTATTATGTAATGCTTCTGACAATATTCCAATTTCTAGAATCCATTATTCCAGGATACACTTGGGGGTGAAAGATGACAGGCCCTTTGTGTTTTCTACAACAAAACTTTTTTTATTTTGCCATAATTTCACACACACACACACACACACACACACACGCACATATAATTGCACATCAAATACATTAATTTTGAGAGTACCTTACCGATGTCATGCCTTCTTACTCTTGAGCGTTTCA